GTGGGTGGTTTCTGAAAAGGTCTTATATATACGTACAAATATAGGTATATATATATACTAATATATATATCTACAGGGGTCAAAAGTTTTGACACACCCTTCTCATTTTAATGGTTTTCTTTTATTTTCATGATGGATTTTACATTGCTAGGATCTCAGCTTTTTTAAGCATCAAACGCTATGGGAATGGAACACATATGGCCTTATAAACTGTAATGTACCCACAAAAGGTTGTGATTGAACGCTATATAAACCCCCACTATGGGTCGCCAAAGCTTCACAGCGGGTCGCAAGGCCTTCTTGATTTTAAGGGATGTAAGAAATCTTAAAGAACTATGCACAGCAGGCCTATATCTCAGCATATTGTTCAATTTAGTGACGTAGTTGGTGTTTCTGGTGTCTCTGTAACTGCGGAGAGCTGTCATCATTTTATTTCAATTTGTCAGACTTAAGCAGATTTTCCAGGTACGAAAAACAATAATTGGCAGATGGCGAAAACCCTGGTCTGTTGCGTTGTAAAAAGGATTTTTTTAGAAAGTTTCCTAATGTAAACAGAGATGATAGCTGTGAATATCCTTGTTCAATTTATGCAACATGAACCAAAATAAAGCACTTTATCATCACTTATATTAGTGTATATTGAGGCTTCTTTCCAGCTTTTAGTATTAGTTTTTAACTGGTTATGAAACAGTCTCAATTTACTGATGCCTCTACATGACTATCAGAGAGACGACTGGCTGTTTCTGTGTGGTAATTCTTTATTATAGGTATTAATGTCTGTGACTGGAATGGAATGTCAGTGGTAGTGGTGAGGGACTCAAATGATAGGCTAGGGACTGACAGCAGGCAGGGTATGTGAGAAGCAGGGACAGCTCTAGGATATTGAACAAGACTTTGAAAACAGTGTATTTTGGTACTTATCATAGCCTGGCTAATCTGTACAGAAGTCACCAGGCAACAGTTTTTATGGCCACTCTTTGCATCTTTAATGTACTAGATTAGATTATTTTGGGTGAAGGTAACTGGCTTTGTTTAGTTCAGTTTAGAGAAGGGATAATGGTTAGGGGTAAATGTAAATCATTTGGAGGTCCATCGCTGCTTCAGCAACTGAGTGCTAGCTAACATGCCCACACTTCTCCTCCCACAGTCATTCTCTCTTTTCTCTCTTTTTCAGTTCTCTCCTTCTCTTTCAGTCAGATGTACACACAAATAGCTGTGTGAAATACTGTGGGAAGTGAGAAATATGCAGCAATCAGTTGCTTGGCTGGATAGAGATAAGGGGGGAGATGGCAGGGGTCTGCACTAGTGGTCAACTGATATTTCAATGTCCCATTTAAGGAGCAGGGCGACTATATAATAAAACGTAATGTAATGTAATTCTGTTGTGATGCAAAATGTCTTGCAATATGTCAGAATAATATTTTATGAACATTTTTTAATGAAAATTTTATTTTATAAAATTTTACCATATTGTGCAGCCCTAGAAGCAACGTCATAAAACTGCATTAATATAACATCAAATTTGATATACAACAGTAGCCAGTGGCGGTTTTAGATTAGATTTGCTGTAATTTAGGAGGAAAGGGTTAACATTTAGGAAACGACAGTTGGTGACTGAAGACATTTAGGTAAGCAGCAGGATGCTTGAGAGTTACAGTACAGGGCTAGAAGCAACATTTTTTACCACCTCCCCAAAACTCCCACAGAGTAGCACTAACTCCGTTCCACAGCAGCCACACTGTGCTGATGTGTCTGCACACATTCTTTGTTTATTGGGCCTCATGAGCGCAGACATCAGCCGTCGACAACTATATCAAAACACCACGTAATCGGCCAACCGATGCACACACCAACATGACCTCACACAGATAATATGTTGACCTATTTTGTATAGGATGTGTGACTGTCACTGTATGGTTGTTATGTCATCATCCAGTATGTACCCAGTCAGAGCTCTCAGGCTTTCCTGTCACACTCTCACACACACACA